ATGTTGAAAAGCAAGAAATAACAAAATCCACACACCAAAATCAGAACAAAGGAACAGTCATAGTAGCATCATTTTGATGTAATCTTTCGAAAGATTTGGATCTCAAGTGTGCTTCAAGTATGCAAGACATCAAAACATGATTTTGCAAACCACATTTTAGAAGGGAAAAGGACCAGGAAAAGAAATCAGGTATAGACAGAAACGATGGTACATCCAAATTCAATCAACATAGAGGCTAATAAAGTCCACTTTATATGATTAATAATAAATTTTAATGATGATTAAATTACCAATTCCTGAGTTTGGAAAGATTAGCAGATAATAAGATCACTTTAAACTCCGGATTATAAGGCAATAAAATTCACGTTTGCGTGTCAAAATAGCCAAACCTAAATGAAAATGTCTAACATGCACCGAAAGATGAGATAACAAGAATTAGAAAATCACACGATAATTCAAAGGCAGAGGCATCTAAACCAATTCTATAACTCCCAAATCAATAAACAAACATAAACTTATAAACACATAAATGACCATCCAAATTTTACATTATCAAAAACAAAATTCCTACATAAGAAAATAAATATGCAGAAAGCAGTTGTTCAACTGTAAAAGTCAGAACCAAAAGGTGCCAATTAGAGGATCAAGCAAGCAAATTTTCAAGTTAAAAAGTGAAAAGAGTCAAGGTCTCCACAACGCCCATCAAATTCCAAAGGCTTCCAAACTAGAATCTGATTTAGATATCTCTAAAATGCATAAAAAGAAAGAACCTTCAAAAAAGTGCAAAGAAATCAATTTTGAGTTTTCCTCAAACATATATCTAACCTAAAACCTCTGAAAAATTCCCCAAAAGCAGCCCAAAGAAGTAGCCTTTTTTATCAGGTATATTCCAAACTCAGAAGGACAGGACAAGTACTAGAAAACAATTACAAGAGGTAAAAGAAAAAAATCATTCAATTCTTCCAAACCACAACAAAATTCCAAGGAATCATCCTTTGGATTGAGCAAAAACAATTAGCCCTTTTTCCCCAAATGAGCATTTTCAAAAACACACACACCAAATACCCACTAAGCAAAGAATGAGACAAGTGATGAAAAACCGTTCCAGCCCTCTCAAAAATTGCACATTTAACAGCCAATTCGTCAACTGAAAAACTCATGATTTTAACAAAAATGAGAAGAGAAGTGTGTAGAAACCACATGAGCTTACCAATGGAGCTCGAACTCGAAACCCTCTTGGAACATTTGAAGACTGATGATGTTGAACAGATTGGTCCATGTTTAGAAACAGAGATTCATAGACAGAAAGAGAAATTCACCAAAAGGGAGAGAGAAAAGAGAGACCCAGAATCCAAATCGGGCTTGAAACAAAGCTCAGATCGAGGACCCAATTAAGATTTCATTACTCAAATCTGATCCACGAAAGCTTAAAAAAATTAAAAAAAAAAAAGATAAATATATCACACCATATCATGTATACAAATATATCTTAAAGACGAGAGCTTTATTGTTGCCCTCTTGTCTTTTTTAACCTCTCCGCTGCAAATGCAAACAAACAACACCAAAAGCGAGCTCTTTTACAAGTTACAACATCAAAACGTGAATCCCCCCCCAACCCCTCTCTCCTTCTCTCTCTTTCTCTCTCCATAACCGAGTCATCTGTTTTCACCAACTTTCTTAATTTTCTTTAGAAAATACGGAAAAATCAAAACTTTTTTAATGATGGTTGATTTTCATCTGATTACAATTAATGGGTATGTTTTTTTTAATAAATGCTTTCTTGTTTTCCCATTGAAAATGACAAACAAGCTGAACAAAACTAGGTATTCTTTGATTGTTTACTACCACTCTGAGGTCAAACCCCTTTTAAATAGACAGATTGTATATATATATATATATATTTAACTTTTTAGTGGTAATATAGTCAATAACATTATATATATATATATAAATAGATTGATTAAAGACAGGATCTTTTTTTTATTACCTCATTTCATTTGAGAATACGAACTATATACATATATTATATCATGAGATCTACCTATTTTTCTCTTGTAAAAAAAAAGTATACTACTTTATTAAGTACCATAATCTTCACATAAAAGATCAAATCTTCACCTCAAAATAAATTGAAAGACAACTTTTTTTTTTAACTTAACACAAATATGAATCTTGCAATTGCAACATGATAAAAATAAAATACTTTTTAGAGAACATATCATGACTTATAATATATAAAAAAATATGAAATTTTTGTGGTCAAATATGTATATATATATATATATGTATGTGTGTCAAAGAGATCAACAAGATATCTTCATCAATATGTCAACTTTACCTCTCTTCTTTTTTTCACGAGATACCCTTTTATTTTCCTCATTGTCCCTTTATTTCTCTCTTTCTATATACACACACGAGTGTGTGTGTGTGTATACTTATACATATATATATATGTGTGTGTGTGTATAATTGGTGTTGAATGAAGTATTTTCTTGTGTTTTCAAGTTGTATTTTTTGACCCATTTTGTGAAAGAACGAGTGGTTTCTCTTCCACCTCCATATGTGATTTGGTTTTGAAGCTTGTCTTATTAGGTGATGCATTTTAAATCATTCGTTTCACTTTCTCAAAATTCTCATCTCTCACAACATTCCCATGTGCCTTTGTTTTTTTAAATTGTATTTACCTTTCGAGTTTTTAGTTCATCGACTTTTGTATTTTAATTATATTAACAACACATTAATACTTACAACGTAATTTTTTTTTAAAAAACGTAACTAATCATCATTAAATTCATACATACAGTACGACGATATTAGAATATAGCCTATTTCAAATATAAAAACTACGATAAACATAAATCGATCTCGTAATATAGTAGAATACCCTATTGTATTGTCTATTGACTCAAAAAATAGGTACATCCGGTACGAGTATCATCAGTATTTTACAGTTCTCAATAAAATTATCCCGTAACTCCAAGTGGTGTTCCTTATATGAAATCAGTACCGTACTGGCAACATAAGTTATTATCGCTCAAACACTCACTTAATATTATGAATTTTAACAATAATTTATTAAATGTATAGACAATTTATTTATTTTTTATAATATATTATAAATTTAAATTAAACCGTACATCTTATATATTTTTTTAAAAAATTATGTTATAATTAATGTGTATACTTTATTTGATTAATGAAATTTATAAAATTTTAATTATATAAAATATGAATGATAATTAACACAATACAAATAAAATTAAATAAATTAAGGATATGGACAAATTTTAAATATAGCATATATATATATATATATATATATATATTACACGCTACTAATAATTGAGATGTCTACGTGGGTATATGTATAATATATTGTCTTATTATGTGTGTGTTACAAAGGTGTATATTTGATTGAATTATATACATATATATATATATATATGAATCCGCGTTAGGTTATTGCAACAATTGGACTTTTAGAGAATGACAAGTCAATTCAACAATTAAATCAATTGGCATGCGACCACCTACGAAAATAATTGTGATATATAATATTTAATTGTATTATTATTACTTATTCGAAAATTAATATTTTTTTATATAAAAAATTGTGATATATTCTTATACATATATATACACATATATATTTATATATATTGAATAATTAGAGTTGTTTTTATAAAACAATTTGTATTATATTTTCAATTCTTAAAATTTTTATTTTATTTATATTTAAAATATTTGTGACAAGTGTATTTTGTAATTATTAATGTTTTTAATTTTTATTTTTGTATAATCAATATATCATAGAATTATAAATATATTATATAAACAAAATTGGTTTCTTTCAAATAAATATTTAATTTTTAATAAATGGGCTTCAATCATAGATTTTGGCCTCCATTAAAATGAGGTTGGGTTTTTTTAGGGTTTATACCCAAATAAATTTTGGGCTTTGATGGAAATAAATTAGTTGCCAATTTGAAACATGGGTTTGAGATTTTGATTAAATAAAAGTTAGGATTTGATTTTATTATTATTTTTTTAAATTTTTGATATATTGACTCGTACCTCTCGGGATCCGGATATTGTTGAAACGGATGCGCTACAAGTACAAAGAGCCTTAACGATAGAGATTGAAGATGGGTCGATAGCGAAAAACTACGAGGCTTTGTCAATTATGCGCTCGAACATTTTAATAAGTTGGGTTAGACGATGCTGCAACGATTGCGAGATTATTTTGATTTTCATGTTCGAGAGATTTTTTCGTCGAAGTTTTTTCGTTATTTAAAAATTTATATATTTAATTATTAATTAATAAATGTATATTAATTAGGGTTATTTTTGTTTAATTTAAAATTAAGGTAAAAATTAATTAAAGAAATTACAAAAGTACAAAAATTAAATTATTATCCCAAACGATATATATAAATAAACCATAAAATTTTAGATTTTAAGGATTTATTTTGTAAATAAGAATATTTTATATTTTTATTTAGAAATTTATATATATTTTATTTAAAAAGCTATACATTTTAGTTAATAACAATTACGGAAAAAAAAAAGATGATAGATTTAAAAAAAATATATATAAAAGATTATTTTCAGTACTTTTTTGTAAAATATTTTATTTTTTGTAATTATTATAAAAATTTATTATATATAGTAAATATATATATATAATTATATATAAAATTCCCATTAAACGAGAAGGCGAACTAACGTCACATGTGATAACAAGATCTTCTTACGACGAGCCAATCGCATCTACGAGCGCCATCTGTCCACGCGCCTTTATTTTCCGTGATATTTTAGACCAATCAGGACAGGACACGTCGATAGGAGCCCTCTGCCGTTGGTTCGTGAATTTCACTGCTTTTTCTGTAGATTATGGATGGGGGCCTCATGATTCTCGAATTTTAAAAAAATTTAAATGCGTAAATTTTGTTTTTTAATTTATTTTAATTAATTTTTTTTTTTAAAAAAGGAGTGGTGATTAAAAACAAAAAGCAGAGAAAAAAGAAAAAAAAAAAAAGGGACTTCTCTCTCTCTCTCTCTCTCTCTAAAGCATTGGTTTCTTCACCACCGTTCGCTGGTATTTTTCTCTCTCTACAAACTAGAAATTTCCCACTTTTGCTCTCTCTCTCTCTCTCTCTGGAGGTGTGGGAAGTTGCAGGAGGAGGTGAAATCTAGGGTTTTGAATTGGTGAATTTGAAGGTTAATTGTTGAATTATCTAGGGGTTAGAGAAGGGACAGTCGAGGGGATCTTGGAATCTGATTGAAGAAGAGAGGGGGAAACAAGAAGAAGAAGGTAGAAGAGGAAGAGGAAGAGGAGAATGGACTCGGTCCCTTCGAACTCACACGGAAACCTCGATGAGCAGATTAATCAACTCATGCAGTGCAAGCCCTTATCTGAACAAGAGGTAACCCTTTCTTTTTTCCTTTTAAAAATTTTTTGGAATGTGGAGACTGTTCCTTCTTTCTTTATTTTCTTTCTGAAATTTACATTTTCGACCGGTTCTTGGGGTTTGGTATTTTCGGTTTTCGGATTTATTGGGAATATTTTGGAATAATTTAGTTAGTTTTTTTTTTTTTTTTGGTAAATGTTGCCGATCGCAATCGATTTGTAGGAGACCTTTTGGGTAGATCGGGAAATATTGTTGTCTTCTTGTGTTTTTTGTGTTTGCATATGGTTGATCTATAAACTAAGTGGGCGTGGGAGCTTTTTGGTGCTCGATCTGGCTCTGGGTATTGAGGGGGATCAAGAGATTTGTTTTAGATTTGATGGGGATTGGATCAGATCCGTTTTTCGTTTGTATTAGAGAAAACAGGCTAACTTTCTGTTCTCATATCTTTTTCCAAGATAGGCACTCTTTTTAACTATTTGCAGGTTTGACCTTGAAATGGTTGGACTCATTTGTTGGTATCTTCTCATATTATTGGATAAAGAGTGTAGGGTGAGATTTTGGTTAAGGTATGTCCTGGAATCACGGGCTTGTTTCCTAGCTCAATAATGGTGAGAGAAGTACAGGAATTCTTCCACTTAACGATGGGTTTCGTGTTGGTTACTACATCTAAGACATAGCTTTGGATTTTTATTTCTTTTGACATAAAAAGCTTGTGTCTCTGAGGGTGAACTTATATTCGAAATTTCCAAGAGTTTAAGCTTTGAAAGGTGTGTGGTTTAATAGCTAAAATTTTCCAGTTAGCCGTAGTATTACAAGAAAATAGAACCTATGACCTTGGTTTCTGTAGTCTACATGCTCCTTTCAACACCAATGATCAAATTACAGAATATCCACACTTGCATTCTCTCAACCACCACTGCAAGCAATCCATATCGATGAAAGAAGCAAGATACTCAAGAAAACCCATGTCTTTACAACGGCCTCATATCATTATATTGGACTGAATTTGTCACATTCACTATAGCGATCTGCATTAATAGAATCACAATCTACTTAGGAGGCTCGTGAGCACATAGGCTTTATTATATGCACCAATGAGTTAACCCATGAGACTATTATTTGAACAAAGTCCTGCGTGTACCAGTTCATATAATGGTTTCCAGTGTTTAAGCTTACAAGAGAAAAGTAACATCCAGACATGATATATTCAAACTCATACGGAAAACATAACCAAGACATTGGAAAGTTGAGCTACATTTGATAGAATATTTCAGTTACCAAATTCGAATTTTTTCCCATCCTTCTCTTCTTCTCTCAATGCAGTTCCTTCACTAAAGGGCGCACAAAACAAAAGAACTAGAACTACAGAGAGATCAAATTGTAGTAAGAAAATGCTAGATGATTGATTAACAAAGGCAATAAGAGAACACATATGCAGTAATTTCCTGTCCTCAACTATTCAATCTCAAAATCAATTTTGTTGACCATCAGATATGTCTTAGTACATTTATATTAAGCCCAAAAAAGTGACAAAGTATTAAGATATACCCTTACGTAGAACTGAAGAGAAGCTGAGACTTGCTCTAGCTCCTTTACAAAGAAATTCTACGAAAATTGACTCTTTCTTTGCCTTGTCTCCATTCCCTTTTCATGTTTGCTTTTGCTAAGAAGAAAGAAGACTCTTCTCTTATTTGGCTCTCTTCTCTCTTTTTTTTTTTGAAATCCTAGCCCCTGCAGAAGACAAGCTCTTTTCTCTGCCAGACTCCTCTTTTTGGCTTGATTTCTCTCTGTCTCTTCTTTTTCGTTCTCCCGGCTCTCTGATTCTCTTTAGAAAACCTAAAGCAGGCCCTTTTCCTTAGCTCTCCCCTTCCTTCTCTCTGCTAATCATGATCTTCATTCTATCACTCCTTGAACAAAAGCCTGCTGCTCTTGTGTGCTCTTTCTGGAATCCAGCTTGGATTTTGGAGCTTTGCCCAATGGACACTTGCCATTTGCTGCATTCCTCCTGCCATGCATGCTCCTCTCCCTCTGGTCATACACCTCTACACCATCATCCTTCCATTGTTTCAAGCACGTGAAGCCATCCTTCTCTGTCACTTCTCCCTTTTCTCCTTTTTGCTTGAGCGAGCTCAGACACGTGCCTCTCTACCCTTTGCCTGTTGTGCTTCTCTCTCTTTCTTCGCTTATCATCTTGTCTGCTTCTTAAGAGCAGAAGCTGTGTTTGTCAATCAGAAGAAAGAAGTTTAAGATATTGACAAAAGAGGTGCCTCTGCGTTGTTTAAAGGGCTCGGTTGCCATGGTTGGTACAACTGAATTGAGATGGGTTGGTTGTGGGCTAGGCTTGAGATTGGTTAGTTAAGTAGCGAGAATGGGTTGGTTTAGGAAAATAGGTTTTTTTTTGGGGAAATAATTTAGCAGTATAGGTTTTATACTTGTTATTTCTTTTTTAAAACAAGGTTTCAGGAAATGTGTTTTATTGGTTACGATGGTAACGGGTATTTAGTAAAATTAAGAGGTGCAAAATGGATTGGGTTCTTAATGACAAAATGGAAATAGGTCGAAAATTAATCAAACTCTAAAAGATTCCATATTAATGGATCAAACTTTTCTAATTTGTATATATTATAATATCTTTTGATTTTTTTCCTTTTTCCAATTTTTCATCTCATAATTTAAATAAACCAAAAATTTATCCGCACAAAACTAAGGTATGACAGTATTGAAATTCACTGATTGAAGGAGCTAGTTAGAAATTTTTCTACCACATAAAATGTCAAGAACAAATCTTGTGAGGTTTGGCCTGATTAAGGTTCTCTATTGCAATCATGTGGTCTATGGAGCTATCTTTGATAGGTAGTTATGGAATCAATTTCATCTTTAAGTACTTGCCCTTAAGTTCCCAGTTATCAGCACTCGAATAAAGACAGCATGTCGAGACATATCTATTTCCATAATTTGGTTTTGTGACTGAATATATGGTAAGGATGGGGTGTCTTCTCAATTGACAAGAACAAGCAAGGCTGTGTTTTCAAAGCTGTAATGAATCTGACCTTTGTTTTTAGAATTTTTAAATCTTTGGCTTTGTTGCACTATGCTGGAGCTTGCAACTGGTTTTTCCGGTTTATTTGCAAAATTTTATTGTTTGTCTCTAATTTTTTGTTTTTTTTTTTTAAATTTATTTATCTTAAAACTTTGTTTGCTCTGGCTTAGGCTTTCTTGTTCTGATTTTTGTTTTGTGCTCTAGGTAAGAAGCTTATGTGAGAAGGCAAAAGAGATATTGATGGAAGAAAGCAACGTTCAGGTTTGGTTTTGTTGTCATTTTGATTTTTGTTTGTCGCTACTAGTTGGTTCTGTTATATCTTGAAAATATTTCTACTTGTTCACATAGTCTTTCCATCGCACAACTATATCTTAGTTCAAATTTTCACTACATGCTAATGTTTAGTGGGTTAACTGGTTAGGGCTGTCAGTAACATATAAGTGCAAGTGCCTTGAGCTTTTTTTGGTTGAATTGTTCTCGGTGTAGCAGTTAAGAACTATATTTCCATGGTGTGCCTTCTGTTGCAATTGTTGAAATTTCTGCTGTCAAAGGTGATTTTGGACTTTTGGGCTTCTACGAGAATTAATTGTCTGATAAAGGTTTAGGTTGAGCCAGAGCTGCATTAACTAACTCAGTCTCCATATACCTAAGAGAAATGCCATACTGTCACGCATTCTTAGCTCATTACTTTATAGGGACAACAATCTTCCTCCAGGCTCTTAACTGCAGACCACATCTCTAAATCTCTAAACTAGCAGAGGATTTCACGAGTGGTAAGACTGGCTTGGCAGGTGTTTCTGCCTTTTCACCAAATATGATAAAGAAAAGAATAGTCTAAATTGTTTATTTTTCTTTCTAATCTCTTTGACTTTTGGCTTGGAGTGATTCTTTACCGTAATGTTGTCTCCTTGTGTTTGTCTTTTTTTTTTTTTGAGAGCCTTGTGTTTGTCTTCTTTACTTCCTGCATTCTAGGTCATAGCCCTTTGTACCCGTCATTTGGATCTTTTCATTCATTTTTATTGTTTGTAACAATAAGTGTTAACATATAGGAGTGCTATCCTAAGTTTATGTGATTTCAGTTCTAGATTTGACCTGTCAGTTATTGCCATTAAAGCAAGGTATTGTATATGCTTACTTTCAGTTGCATCTTTTGGGCCATTGCTACAGATACATAATTATGTCATGCTTTTCTTTGGGTGTAATCCTTTCTATGGGCCTACTTTGGTTCTTTGGTGTAATCCATTCTATGAGCCTACCTTGATTCTGAAATGCAGTAAATTCTAATTATTTTCTCATTATTAATTTCCTTTATTCTGTAAACTGCAGCCTGTGAAAAGCCCTGTTACAATCTGCGGTGACATACACGGGCAGTTTCATGATCTTGCAGAGCTTTTTCGTATTGGAGGAAAGGTAATGTTTTGTTATGCGATTTTGGGGTCAATTGTAGATATGTTAATTGACTTGTAAATCTTTTGTACATTGGTTGGCGCCCCCTTGGTGCCTCCACTTCAATATATTCTACACTTTTATCTTAAAAAAATGTTCTGTTATGGCCTTTTGTGTCCTAGTTGTGTTTGCTGATGAAATATCAATGCGCTTGAGAATGTTTTGGAGATGTAATTAAGTAATTATTTGTGCAAAGTAGATTTTGTGTTAGGTCTTATATTAAATTTTACACTTTTCAAGTTGGGTTTGCTTGCAATGCATTTAATGCATTGTAGGGTGTATTACACATTTTAGTTTTCAGAATAATAATATACGTGCAATTTCTTGGCCAGTGTCCAGATACAAATTATTTATTCATGGGAGATTATGTTGACCGTGGCTATTACTCAGTTGAAACCGTAACAGTAAGTGCAAGTTATTATTTTATGTTATTATCTTTTTTCTCTTTCTATTGGAATTTATGAATTTGTTTTGTTGGATTATATTGTTACATGAAAGAATGTCTTTCTATATTGTGGAACTATTGTTGTCCTATTGCTTCTTAGACTTGCAAGTGACAGTACTTTTATTATTAAGGAAGTATTCTAAACCTTGGCGAAAAAAATTGGAGTGAGTTCTCGTAATATAAAAAAGAGGAAGAATAGAAGTAAGGGATTTATGCTTTTTTTCGCCACAGATTTTGTTCATTGGTTTTTGAGTAGTGTTTGTGGAGTTCTAATGAGGAGGAACTAGTGTGAGGTCCAAACAAGTTGCACCTTTGTTGAAGGTTTCTTTTTATTTCTTAAACACTTGCTCAAGGAATTCTCGCTTTCAATTTCATTTGATTGGCTCTTCCACTTGCCATGTGGCATGATTACTATTCTTAAACACTCGCTATAATTTTCAGCTTTTGGTAGCATTGAAAGTGCGTTATCCACAGCGGATTACTATTCTTCGAGGAAACCATGAAAGCCGTCAGGTCTGTAAGCCCCTTGTTACTTTTTCTTGTAGTGGACTTCAAATAAGTCGAATTATTCTTATGCTTGTAGCTGTTTATCAAATTAAGTATATTTAGAAGTATTTTATTTTCGCTATCCTCAGTATATGGTTTATGGTTTATGGTTTCTTGTCCATGGTTTCTCTTTGGTGCTGAACATATACTTGTGTTTCTTATTGCAGATTACTCAAGTTTATGGGTTTTATGATGAATGCCTAAGGAAGTAAGTCTATTAGAATCATTGTTGTTCTTTTGATCATATTTAATGCAATGAAGATAATCTATAGCAGAAGTTTATTTCCAAAAAAAAAATCTGTAGCAGAAGTTTTCCACAAGGTCTTAGTTGCTGTAGATTGTTGTGTTCTTTTGTATTTTTCTTTTTCTGTTTTCTGATGAAGGTTTTTTTTTTTTACCTTGATGAAGTTTATTTTGACTGGTATTTGCTTATTAGGAAAAACATTTTAGTGTAGTTTGCAGAGACTGCTTAGTTTGAGTATAAAATGGGCTATCATATATAGCCTGTAATTGGAATACCATTATGGAATTTGGTAACATGTTTTTTAATTTTATGTGAATGTATTTTCTCTATTTCCTTCTCAACTTTGAGGTTCTATTTATGAATCCTTTCCTCCTATTTTGCAGGTATGGCAATGCTAATGTTTGGAAGATCTTTACAGATCTGTTTGACTATTTTCCATTGACAGCGCTGGTTAGTGTGATTTTGTTAAAAAAGTTCGTGTTATTGTTAATCATGAATATAAGGTTTGCTGGTTGAGAAAACAAAAGTCATTATTTGAATAATTTTGGATGATGTTTGCCATATAGCACGTCTTGATGAGTGATAATGCGTACTCGTTTCCCTTACTCTTTTATACTGCTACTTTTTGTTGAATAAACATGGAAACATCACCTTGGAAATTTAATTACTTTCATTAGTACTTTTTGTCTCAATTTTGTTCTCTATGGCAGTGCCAGTGCTAGGATTCACCAATTTATTGAGCTGGCTCTTAAGATTGTTTACACTGGTTTAGTGGCTTATGTCATAAGTGTATACAGTGAGGGAGGATCATATATGTTTACTTCTTTCTTGTAGGTTGAATCAGAAATATTTTGTCTCCATGGTGGACTCTCTCCATCCATTGAAACCCTTGATAATATACGCAATTTTGACCGAGTTCAGGAAGTTCCTCATGAAGGCCCTATGTGTGATCTTTTGTGGTCGGATCCAGATGATCGATGTGGGTGGGGTATCTCACCCAGGGGTGCTGGATATACCTTTGGCCAGGTATTGTATTTTCTTTTTATTCTTCTTTATCCTCTTAAAAACGTTGTTTTTCTTTTCCTCCTTGGAGTGCTTAAGTGTTTTTTCTTTCCAGGACATCTCTGAGCAGTTCAACCATACAAACAACTTGAAGCTGATTGCTAGGGCTCACCAGCTTGTTATGGAAGGTTACAACTGGGGTCATGTAATTACTGTACCCAAACCGGTGGCTTTTTGTTTGGCATTGCTTTTCAATTTCTGATGACGTTTGTTTTATTGGTTCAAATCATTTTGACAGGAGCAAAAGGTTGTGACTATATTTAGTGCACCTAACTACTGTTATCGCTGTGGAAACATGGCTTCGATTCTGGAAGTAGATGACTGCAAGGGCCACACATTTATTCAGGTCTCTGTCTTTATTCTTGTATCTGGCTTCCCCACCTTCACATAAGCTAATTCACATTGCCAATGCTTGCTAGAAATGTGAAATGTCCTAATCGTTTGGATGGTGGCTTGAAAATTTTGCAGTTTGAGCC